AGATATTTTGGGGCAGGAGTATTCCCTGATCACTGCTGGACAATGGTCCAGAATTGCCATTGTGCTGAGAGTGGAAAATCCTTTTCTGACTCCATCTCCAAGGGCTGAAAATAGTCCAGGGTGGAGCCCCCAGGGACTGGGTTTGGGGCAGATGAGTAACTTGCCCGGCTTGGCCCATTGTTTCAGGCTGGGACAGGGCTGAGACTCAACACCTGGCTAAGCTGGAGCCCAGACAGAGGCAAGCCCAGGAAGCCCCCACTGGAGGAAGAACGGCTGGACTGCGCCGAGCCCCACTGCAGATGCAGACACCAGGGCCCAGAGAGAAGGGACTCACCAAGTCTACTGGTGTATCAGGGTAGGTGAGGACCAGAGTTTGACTTCTGGGGCTCATTTCCCACCATCGCCCATCCCCCAGACGCACATTCCTCCAGGGAAGGCAAGCAGACTTCTTTTTTTTTTTTTATCCTCACCCGAGAACATTTTTTCCATTTTTTGTTCAGATAGAGCGGGAGGGAAAGAGAGGAAGAGAGACAGAGAAACATCAATGTGAAGGGACACATTGAGTGGCTGCCACCCGCACGACCAACCAGGGCCCGGGACAAACTGCAGCCGAGGTACGTGCCCTTAGCGGGAACCGAACCTGGGTCTCTCTGTACCGCAGGCCGACGCTCCAACCGCTGAGCCAAACCGGCCAGGGTGGCAAGCAGACTTCTCACCTCGCATCCCAGCTACTCCTGGCCAAGCTCTACCCTCCACCTCACTGGGCGCAGGAGTGTCAGATTGGACTGGCTCCAAGCTGGCTCCATCCGGGGCTTCCATGGATGGGTAGAAACTCTCTAACCCAAAGGCTGGCTCCAGAAACTTAGTATCAAGGCCATCCTCTTTCTCTTCCCACTGTCCATTCTCCCTGCTGCCCTCCCACAGCCAGTCACCTGGACAAGGTTCTGTAAACACCCAGGCCCGTGTGCCTGGAAGCCCCCGGTACCAGATAGGGCAGAGGGTGGTCCCATCCCTTACTCCAGAATGGACCTGCTTCCCCCCTTCTACACCCTGGGAAGCCTTGGCCACAGTGAACCCCTGGTGCTTACTGGCCAGACATACTGTTCTATCCTTCAAATCACTTTTTCTCATGTGGTTCCATATTAAATTATGTCAACGCCATGAAGGCAGGGTCTGGCTGGTTTGCCTTCACATCCCCTTGGCACAGTGCCTGGTGTGTAAGTGTTTACCACGTGCCAGGCACTGCTCCATGTGTGCTAACTCAGGTAAACCTCCCAGTGAGCTACACGGGAGGTAGTGTCTCCTTTTGGAAACGAGAAAACCGAGGCACTGCAAGATTTAGTAATTTATCAAAGCACCAAGCAGGAAGAATTGGAGCCCACACTCAAAACCAGGTGGTTTGGGCATAGAATCTGTGCTCCTGACGCCATTCGTGCCACACGGCCTCTCTCATCTTAATCACATACAGACCCTCTTTCCCTGTAGAGGTTCGAGTGGCTCCATATACCGGAAAGGGAACTAATCTGGGCATCAGATGGATCTGGGTTCACTCTTGATTCACTTAACTGGAGCAAGCCGTTACTCAGAGCCTGCCCCCTGGGCTGCTGCATGGGGACAAGAATGTCTATTTCACATGGTTGTGACGAAAGATAAATGACATAATAGATGTGAGGGGGTCCGGTACAGTGACTGGAGTATGGATTAGTGCACAAGTTCCCTGCCTCAGTCACCTGATTCTTTTTTTTTATCCTCACCCGAGGACATTTCTGCATTTATCTTCAGATAGAGCGGGAGGGAGAGAGGGAGGAAGAGAGAAAGAGAAACATCGATGTGAGAAAGATACATGGACTGGTTGCCACCCACACGACCCCAACCGGGGCCAGGCACAAACTGCAACCGAGGTACGTGCCCTTAGCAGGAACCGAACCCGGGACTCTCTGGCCTGCGGGCCAACGCTCTGATCACTGAGCCAAACCGGCCAGGGCATGCATGCACCTGATTCTAAACAGAGCAGCCCAAATCTGCTGTGACAGGGGTGGTGATCTGGACACTGGACTGGAGCAACTCTGTATGGGGAGAATGTTCCTAGTCTTGGAGGGTAAGAGTGGGAATGTCCTCTGGGACTCCCCCTTCGTCCTGGGCCCTGGGATATCTGTTACCCAGAGCAGAGACCCCTCTGTGCCAGGGATCCTAACTTGGTTGCACGAAGCCCATTGAGAACAGCTGCTGCAGGCAAGTCCGCAGGTGTACACTCCCCCCACCCTGTTCTTTCCCCCACCCCCCTGCCCCATGTCTCTGGCCTCAGCTGAGGCTCTGTCCACTTGGGCTGGTGGGGGTGACAGCAGGATTCCCACAAAGGCACCAACCTGCAGTAAAGAAAGCAGAGCAGCGGGGCAGCCTGAGCCCTTGGAATATATCCAGGCGCCATGCTGACCTCCTGAGTGATCTTGGGCAAGGCTCCGCCCTCTCAGGCCTTGAGTCTGCAGCTGGGCTGGATAATCCCCGGGGTCCCTCCCTGTCAGGTGGCTGTGCCCTTTCACAGTGGCCTTCAGGAGTCAACAGCCTCAGGAAGTGATGTCAGGATGAGGAGGTGGGAAGAGGGGGAGGGGCAGGGAGGCCCAGAGAGTAAGAGGAGATATTTTGAGAGCAGGCAGGTCCCCCCATGTCACTGTTGAACAATGCTCTGGGGCCAGGAGTGGAAAATCCTGCTCTTACTTAAGCTGAAAATAGCACAAGGCAGCAGGGTCAGGAACCTCACCCACCAGGCGGGTGGCTGGGCACTGAGCAGTAGGCCAGATGTCCACACCAAGAGGCCAGGCAGTCCAACTGGGGTCTAGAGGTGGGACCCTGGGCCTGTCCCTGGTTCCCTTAGGTCGTCACTCCTCACCCCCACCAGTGTCTGCCACAAGATTAGATGGTGAGTCAGCCACCCCATCACCTGGGTCCTGTGTCCTTAGAGATCTAACAGGCAGCTGGGTGAAGGAAGACTTCATGGGGCTAGGCCATAGTTGTCTCTATGTGCTGTGGGGCCTGGGTTTTCAGGGTCTCCAGGGCAGCTGCTGGAGGATGTGAAAAGAATGGGGACTAGGGAAACTTGGGCCCATGGTGGCCACAGCCCCACCTCCAACCACTGATGCACTCTCAAGAGTTCTCAGAGTCATGATGTATAACCCCTGCCTCTGGGTCGAGGAAGGGCTGAGGGAGTCAGAGCCCAGCATTTACACTCCTGGCCAGCAGAGTATCTTACCTGGGTAGGGTGCCCCTATAAACTGGGATGGGATTCAGCCTGAACAGCAGCTAGTAGGAAAGAGACAGACTCAAGCCTACAGGAAAGGCTCAAGAACAACCTGAAAGAGGTAGTCACACAGGGAAGTTCTTAGGGACACAGGTTACATTAACAGAACTATAGGACCTAGAATGTGGGAGGTAGGCATTTAACTCTATTTCGGGCAGGTCACACACATTGCACCGTGCAGAGAATCATTTGGGTCATGGCTTGTAATGGGTCCCTGTCACATGAGGGAGCTGTGGAGCTAGACTCTAAATAGAGTAACGCCGGGGGTGCCCCATCTTGCCAAGGTGCAGTGAGAAGGGAGGAGTAGTCATAGGAGGCAGGGAAAGTGGGGTGAGGAAAGAACCTTACCTCAGGTAGTGTGGGCCCATAGGACAAGGGCTCTCCCAGAGGGCGAGGGAGAAAGTCTTTATCCTTGAGGTTAAGAGTGAGGACTGCCAGCTTTGCCCTATCCCTGCCCAAAGGCTAGTGGTCCCTGTCCAGGTGAGCTCCACAGATCTCCAGAGTGATTCTGGCGGGACCCAGAACCTGTCTCAGGTCAGACCCATCTCCCCCACACTAAGCCCTAACCCAACCTGAACACCAACCTTTTTTTTTATCCTCACCTGAAGACTTTTTTTTTTTTTTTTGCATTTATCTTCAGATAGAGCAGGAGGAAGAGAAGGGGGAAGAAAGAGAAAGAAACATCAACGTGAGAGAGACACATCGGCTGGTTGCCACCCACACAACCCCAAACAGGGCCGGGGACAAACTGCAACCGAGGTATGCGCCCTTAGTGGGAACCAAGCCCAGGACTCTCTGCTCTGTGGGCCGATGCTCTAACCACTGAGCAAAACCGGCCAGGGCCTGAACACCAACCTTTATGCCATGTAGCTGGATCTTTCCCAGAGGCAGAGGACTGGATTGAAGAGGAGTGAGTCTCTCCCACACTAATCAGTGCAAAGGGAATCTCATGATCAGGGTAAGGAGGGAGCTCTGACTTGGCCTCCTTGTGACTCAACACCTGCCTCATTTCTGCTTTGAGTCTGAGCACCAGCTGCCCAGCCTAGTTCCAGCTCCTGCACACCCTGCTCTCCTTCCGCCCATGTCTTTGCCCAGGATGCACCCTGCACTTGGATGTTCTCTGATGAACTGCTTTTCTTAGAAGCTATAGCTTGTCCCCCCGCTCCAGAGAGCCTTCCCTGACCCCCTGGTCTTCAGCCCCAACCATTCAACATTATCCAGCGGGAGCAACTTGTACTGTTTGCAAGAACCAAATGTTAAATTTTAGGAATTTTGCAGAGAGGTTGACATCATATTTGTCGTCTGAAATTAGCCATGGTAGGAGTGTTTGCACCATGGCAATTGGCAATGCTACAAACAAGGGGTTCTCCTCACCCGCCTGGAGGGCCAGTTAAATGGTTTGACATTTACTAGTATATGACTAGTTGTCACCATTAAGTCCTAAACTGGGGGATCCCAAGGACTGGGACCCCACCCGACTCCTCTCTGTGCCCATCAGAGCCAGGTACAAAAGCCAGTTAGATTTGAAGTGGTGGATAACGTGGGGTCTGGCGAGGGGAAACCTGATATGACCACTGCTGAGGCAGCGAGCGGGAAGGCAGGCAGCAGACGAGAAAAGGTCGGAGAAAGAAACCTAGTGTGCACGGTAAGAGCTCCCCACATTGCATCCCCATCCTCGAACCACACAATAGGCACAGCTCAGCAGACAACACTTTTAGTATAAGTTACAGCCTCAAACTGGCTCCCAGCCCATGGGAGCCTCCAGATGGGTTTTTGAATCAGTTTCCAGATGTTCATCTCTTGGGCTGGGAGACTCCTCATTGCTTAGTCCACTGTGGCACCCAGACCTGCCCCAGACCCCCTGTGGGAAGCTCTGGCTCAGCCTGGCTGCTTACCAGGGTCCTCTAGTCAACCTGAGACCCCAACCCTCCCAGGTAGCTCAGGCCCAGACTTCTCTGTGTGACCTTGGTTAAGTCACTTTCCTCTCTGGGCCTGTTTCTCCATTTGACTTGGTTCAGCTGGGCTCTAGCCTAGGTACCTTGGCAGGCACAGCCAGCTATTTATGTGGGTGAGTCAGGGCAGCGGCGGCACTGGCCCTGAACCCTTGCCTTTCTTGAAACCTTATTCCCAATCGACACATACACATGGTGATGGGGCCGTGGGACTGTTGAACTCTCTGGACCACAGGGAATGTCCAGAGCCCCTGCCAAGTGACAGAGTGTTGGGGTCATGGCTCCGCTGACCATCCACATGATTCATGATGATCCACATCTGGGGAGACCATCTCATTTGAACGAGTCATCGTCCCTGCAGTTCCCCTCATATAAACTTGCACAGGCTGGAGGGGTTTAGGTCTCATAGCCTGATATCCTTAGTGTTCCCGTCAGTAGCCAGCGTGGACTCCGTCTGCCTGGAGTTCTCACTGCTGGCCAACCTGTCTTCTGTCTTGGTGTCAGTTCTGTGAAATTTGTGCAGGTCCAGCCTGCGGCTAGCCTGGGCAGCAGGCACAGGATCTGTGGGTGGCTTGGAGTCCCGGGCAAAGCGCACGAGCCTCTGCCCAGCTAGGAAGTAGAGCACGGGGTCAAGGCAACTGTTGGCGCTGGCCAGCGGCCGGGTGATCTTGTAAGCCATGTTGATGGCATTGAGGGTATGGCAGCTGAGGTCCAGAGAGCGGAAGGAATAGTAGAGGGTGCGGGTGACGTGGAAAGGCAGGAAGCAGAGGGCGAAGACAGCCAGCACCACAGCAATGGTGCGCACCGACTTGCGCTTGGCCCGTGGCAGGCCGCCCGCGGTCCCATAGGCTGGCTTTAGCAGCCGCCGGGCCATGAGCACGTAGCAGACCAGGATGGTGGCAAAGGGCACCGCGAAGAGCAGGCCCAGCATGACGGAGATGTAGGCCAAGAAGTGGTTGAAGAGAGAAGGGGCCGAGGTGTCGTGGCAGGTAATACGGCTGCCACGTGTGCTGGTGGTGACGAAATAAAGCACGGGGGCTTGGCAGACCAGCACCAACACCCACACGGCGGCTGCCACCCGCCGGGCGTAGCGGGCTCGACCCCAGCGCAGCGAGCGCAGTGGGCGCAGGACACCCAGGCACCGGTGCACGCTTATGCATGTGAGGAAGAGGATGCTGCAGTAAAGGTTGGTGTAGAAGAGGAAACGCACCAGCTTGCAGAGCACCGTGCTGAAGGGCCAGTGGTCGCCATGGGCGTAGTAATAGACCAGCAGCGGCAGGGAGGCCGCGTACAGTGCATCTGACACGGCCAGGTGGAACATATAGGTGGTGGAGGCATTCCATGTCTTGAGGCGGCAGAGGAAGACATAGAGCACCGCGACGTTCAGAATCAGCCCAAGCACGCACACCACGCCATAGGACACAGGCAGCAGCACGTACTTGAAGTCCTCATTGAAGCGGCACTTGTAGCCCAGCTCATCCCCATCCCAGGTGTCATTGTTGGTGCCATTCCAGAGGCCCAGGCCTGTGGCCATTGCCCTGAAGGAAAAAGGGTGGGGTGGGGGAGAACAGTCATCAGGGTCATGGCCAGGGCTCATCAAAGAGGCCTGACACACCCACCTGACCAGGGTCATGAGGGACCCCAAGTGCCCAGATTCCTTTGGTTAAGATCTGCCCAACTACATTCAAGGCCTTTGTTGCCATCTGACCTGGCTCCCTGGACTCAGAGGGTCCAGAACCCTAGAACCCTGGGACCTCAAAAATGCATGCATGAGATCTATATATATCAGGATTGTACAATTCTAAAACTTTAGAACAGAGGTAGCAAACTATACCCTGAAGGCCAGATCCAGCCCATCACTTTGTTTTTATAAACAAAACTTTATTGGAATACAGCATACCCATCTGTTTACAAAGAGCTGAATAGTTGTGACAAAGACCATATGTTCCCCCAAATCTATAATACTTATTTGGCCTTTTACAAAAACAAAGTTTGGCAACTCTGCTCTAGAACCGCAGGACCACAGAGTTCTAGATCTGGGATTCTGAACCCTAGAATCTAAAGATCCCAGAGGTATCATTTCAGATTCATGGACAGGGGCCCTTGAGGTTGATGGGCTCTACCTCATGCCCAGTGCCCACTGCCTTCTGAAGCATTTCTGGCCAGTGAGCAGCCCATATGTCCTAGAGACATTAGAATGTTCTTTCCTTTAGCTCATTCTTCAGCGACCTAGGGAGGCTCTGGCTCTGTGCCTGGTATTTTGGTATTGAGGAAGTATTTCCAAGGGTCTCCCTCTTTAGTCATTCATTCACTCATTCAACAAATATTTTTTAGACTTTATGTTCTGGCACTTTCTGCATCTGTAAACAGCAGTGCTGTTCCCTGGCCTGTGACAGATGGGACAGTAACCCTCCTGTAGATTCCAGGGAAATCTAGGATGGAGGTGGGAGTGGGGACAGCTGGGGACTTCATTTGTGGGTCAAATTCTGCTTCCTCCATGCCTACCTACCTTTTCTTCCACACCATCACTGCCTCGAGGTTCCCCTACCTTGTTCCTTGTGAGCATATAATACAACCACAGGGCCTGACTGCTCAGTGAGCACCTGGAGAACAAGTTGTCCCTCCTCCTCTCCCCACTCCCACCAGTGTGACCAATAAGAACTCTCTCTCAGCTGGGAGGCAGGTAACAGATATCACAGTCTGGAGGGCAAAGATGTGCCCAAAGGTCCCAGCAGGAAGGCTGGAAATCCTAGGAGAAGTCCTTGGTAGACAGGTTTGGGACAATCACAAAGAATAACTTTCTAACATTGTGAATGGGCAGGGGGAGCTGACCTTTTCAAACCCTACTACTATGCGTGCTTTGTAAATGTCACTTCATTCCATCCTTACAACATGCTTCTGGGAGCCAGGTTATCATGCCCGATAAAGAGGCTGAGACACAGATCATTCAAGTAATTTGGCCAAGGTCACACAGCTGGAGACAAGTGACAATTCTTATCCAGATCTGTCCCACAATAGAAGGTGCTATTGGAGGATGATAGTAAACTCCCTGCTCATGGGGGTGTGTAAGCAGAGTCTTCAGTAGGGCTCGTGTCCTGTGTGTGGGTGTGTCTGGGAGGACAGAGAGGACAGATGACATGGGAGTCCTCCCTACCCTGAGAATCTGGGGCTGTACAATTCCCTTCATTTTGGAACCTGGTGTCCTGAGAGGCTGGGACTTGGAGATTCTGTCGGGCCAGCGATATCCTCTTGTTTAGACCCTAAGCTTCATGCCCAGCCTGGCCTCCCAGCAACAGTTCAAGGCCCTTGAAGTGGAGATTAGGGGGGCTGAGGGACACATAGTTCCCTCAGTTTCCCTTCTTTCCCAATACTCCACCACTCCCACTCCAGATCTTCCCTGCCTCCTGTTGTCAGCAAAGGTGCAACCAGGAGGAAGGGAGCCTACACCCGTGACCTTCCCCCCACGGTCCCAGGTTCCTTCCCAAAGAGCCAGGGCAGGTCCAGGGTGAGGAGGCAGGAGAAGCCTGTGTGGCACCAAGTTGAGAGGGGGCAGGTATGGAGGTGCTCTGGCTGCACTAAACTGCTGGATCCCTCTTGCCCATGGCCAGGACTGAGGACCTGGCCAAACTGCTGGGATCCTTCTTACCCAGGGCTAGGACTCAGGACCTGGTATTAAAAGTGTTTCCTGCCCTGGCCAGTTTAGCTCAGTGATTAGAGCATCGGCCAGCAGACCAGTGAGTTGTGGGTTCAATTCCAGTCAAGGGCATGTGCCTCGGTTGCGGTTCGACCCAGCCCTGGCCGGATCACGCAGGGAGCAACCAGTCGATGTGGCTCTATCACATGGATGTTTCTCTCTGTCTCTCTCTCTCTCTTTTTCTCTCTCCATCCCTCCCACTCTAGTTAATGATAAACAGAAAAATATCCTTGGGTGAGGAATAAAAAAGAAAAGAAAAGTGTTTCCTTCCTCTCACCCCTGCTCTAGGCAGCCCACTGTCACCCCCACCCTTGCACCAGCCTCCAGCCTCAGCCCTGCCCCAATCCTGAGGGGTCTTTGTAAAAGACAAAGTCATTCCCCTGCTTAAGACCCTCCATGGCTCCTGCCTGCTGTCAGGAGAAAGCCTCTGCCTCCTCTGTGATCTGCAGTTTCCTGAATGTGCCCAACATTCTCCCCTCTCAGCCCTGGTTCATGTTGCTTCTTCAACCTGGACTCCATTCACACCTCTCACATCTACCTGCTGAAATGACAACTTTATCCTTCAGCGCAGTAAGTCCCAGTGGTTACGAAGAGCCTGACCTCTGCAGCCAGACCTCCTATTTCCTCGTCCATAAAATGAGGTGATTATTGGAACCTAGATCCTACAACAGCTGTGAGGATTAAGTGAATAATCTGTGTAAAATGTTTGGAGCAGTGCCTGGCACATAGTAGGTGCTGTGATGTTATGAGCTTCAAGGTTCAGCTCAGATGTGGCCTTTCCTTGAAATTTCTGGGACACTCTCGGGGGAGGTGCGACAGGTCTTGACTGAAGGCTGTGGATGGAGTGAGTGTGGGGGGCTGGGGGAGTGATGCTGAGCCCAAAGCTAGGGCCAGGCCTGAGGACCTCTGAGGGGAGAGAGTTGAGAGCTGTTTGGGGGGAAAGCTAGAGAGACTGGCCCAAAGGAAGTCTGGGTGGGGGAGGGCAGGGGAGAGAGGCAGACAAGAGGCCTGGCTCAGGGGTTGGGAGGAGGAGCAGGAGGGGGGAGAGGAGGAATTCAGTGTCAGGCATGTTAAGCATGGGGTGCCCTGAAGGGGTATGGTGGGAAGTGGGGCTGGATGAAGGCTGGGACCATCAGATCTGATACTTTGGGAGGTGGGCTGGGAGCTGCTGGCTCGCAGGAGCTGCAGGAGGAGTGTGGAGGCCTGAGCATGAGACTGGGGATCCTTAGAGAGGCCACCAACTTGGATGTCCAGCTCTGCCACAGAACCTCGGTGACATCATGCTTTCCTGCCCCCCTGACACTCAGACCTCTCACGGGCTGAATTCCATGGTCTTGGAGAACTGCAGCCATAAACCTTCCCTCCTGAGGTCCTCTTCCCACAGGAGCTAAGGAAAGCAGCCCCCTCCATGGCACCTAGTCCCGTCTCTGTGCTGCTGCTTTAGCTCCGGCCCCAGTGCTGAGGTCTGGCAGGTGTCTCCTCAGAGTCGGGGCCAACATCCTACTGCTCTGCACAGTGCTCTTGCTAATCACTGGTGGTGGAATCTCTGACACTAACAAGAGGGGTGGAGACTTCCTTAAGTCTCCAGTGAACCTAGGGAGCTGCCCTTTCCACCTGTTTTAAGACATCCTGCCTCCACCTTCCGAGGCCAGCTGGGGATTCCATCGTAATGGCCCCCATCCAGGCTGACTCTGCCCACCCTCTCCCTCCACAGACTGGCTCAGCAACCTGTGATTACATCTTTCCTGCCTCCCCAGCCCCTGCTTATGGAGACAGTCAAGTCCGCAGCCCTCTCTTCTGCCGTTTCTGAGCTCCAATGCCCTTGGGGCCTCACTCCCTGCTCCCTGGCCCCTGCCTAACTTTATCTAACACCACTCACCAGCCCCTCCATGCCTAGTTCTGGTTGGCCCTGCCCTGAAGATCTAGTCTGGAGGGAGCTGGGAGCTGTGTAGGTGTCCTACCAGGCTTCCTTTGTGCATGCTGTTCTTTCTGTCTGGAAAGCCTTTCTAGAAACCACCCACACTGCACTCCATCCTCCCACCCCTCAAGGTTCTTTTCAAATGTCACCGCATCGCTGAAGCTCTCCTCCTAACACTACCCCGGGGCATTCCTCACACCCTGTTAGTAATTTGTCCATCCACCCTCTCCCCCAACACATTCCGGGTGCTCCCAGAGGACTGGGTCTATTTGATTATTTTCTCTGTCCTTATCATCCAGCAAGAGGTCTGCTTTAAACCAGGTATAACATGAATGAATAAGTGAGTGAATGAATGAATGAATGAAGTAAGCACAAAAAGCCATGGGAGCCCAGAGGAGGCTCAGCTTTATGACAGTGGCTCTCCTTTCCCTTATTCCTCTGAGAGCCTCCCAGAGGACAATGACACTTAAAGATTTCTCAGCTGCTGACCTCGGTGGTCAGGAGTCTCCCCAGTTCACCTGGGAACCAGCCCACCCGAGGCCTGCTCCTACCCTACACAGGTCCCCAGACTGTCTCTCTTTCAAGAGGTGCAGAGAAGGCCCTACCCTTCTCTGGACACAGGGAGCGTAACTAGACCCAGATACTCTGGAGATGGGTCAGCTGCCTGAGCAACCACCTTATTTTATTTCACCCATCTCTGGCTCAGATCATGGGTCAATCTGAGTCAGGAGCTCCTGATTCTGGAGTCCCACCCCCTCATTTTGTAGGGGCCAAGCCTGGGCTGAGCAGCTTTGATACAGCATCTTTATTTCACTCCCATCCTCATTCCTCAGTAGATATTGCCATGGAGGTGAAGCTATTTGTTCAAGGTCACAATGCCAGGAATTGGAAAAATTGGGCTTGACACCCAGGGCTGTCTGGCCTCAAAGCCTGAATTCATCAGAGCCTGGGATGAGGGAGCAGGGCAGGGATCCCCTTGATCTACCCCAGGTTCTGTGTACACATGCACGCACCTGTCCCAGCCTCCCAGCCAGTGGACCTCGCCCTCGCATGTCCGTACCTGACCAGCAAGTTCTCGTGTCAGGATGCTCAGTGCCCACTCAGGTTCCTCACTCATGAATGCACAGGCTTGGACAGTGCTGCAGGGTACTCTGCAGGAAACAGGAAAAACAGGTCCCCCGCCTGGGGCCACACCCAGCTTCCAGCATTTTTCAAGGCAGGCCTCGCTGTGGGCTCCTAGACACAGGGAGGTGGAGACAGTGTGCGCTCTGGGTCATGGGAACTTAGCCAGGCTGAGCCCTCTTGGGGCCACTTTCTCTGTTCCAACCTTGGTCAGAAAGAGGCAGAGAGGCAACCTGGTGTGCTGGTTCCAGTAGGGGTATCCTCTGCCCACCTGCCATCCACCCTCAGCTCACACGCTCCGGGGATGGTGGTCCCTAGCCTCCGTCCCCAGGAGCCTCCTTTCACAGGAAGGTGGCTCTTCCAGGGAAGGGCTCCCCAGGTCCTACAGAACAGAGCTGAGACTCCAGTACCCCCTCCCTTGGTTTTGGTTCAGTGTTTCAGCCCTACAACAGGAGACATTCAATACCCTCCTGGCCTGGTATACACCTGACTGTACTTCAGCCAACACAGTTTTGCTGAAGCTGGGTGTCTATCTGGAATACTCCTTCTTCCCCTAATCATTCCTCCATAGGTGTTGTAAACACATCTGAACACTCACAGGCATGGACACACAGCCATACAGAGATGTACAAAGTCACACTGAGATGTACACGCAGTACACCCCCCCACACACACCTAGTCGGGACCTGGAATAGCCTTCAGAAATCACCTGCACCAAACTCCCATTTGATAGAGGAAGAAACTGAGGCCCAAGGCCTCACAGTAAGTCAGGGACACAGGCAAGGTCAGCAGCCAGGCCTTCTGGGCTCTGGCCCTGGTTTTTGTCTTGCCTAGGAGCCCCTCACACACAACAGGTACTGGCTTCATTGAGGGCATGGTTACCTCAGAGAGGGACCCCTCTGTGTGGACAGGTCCCAGCATCTACCAGAACCTCAGACACATTACAGGGGGAAAGAACAGCCCTTGTCCATCTCCTTCATTTCTCTACAATGGCGTAGGGGGGTCTGAGATAGCTGAGGCCAGGCCCCCAGGTTGGAGTGCAGCACAAATGTGGGGGAAAGCAGGGATGGGTGGCTGCAGGGACAGGGCAGGGTGTAACAGTACTGGGAAATAACCCCGGGCACTGCTGTCCTGCTGTGCCGGGGGAACAACCCCGGGCACTGCTGTCCCGCTGTGCCGGGGGAACAACCCTGGGCACTGCTGTCCCGCTGTGCCGGGGGAACAACCCTGGGCACTGCTGTCCCGCTGTGCCGGGGGGAACAACCCTGGGCACTGCTGTCCCGCTGTGCCGGGGGAACAACCCTGGGCACTGCTGTCCCGCTGTGCCGGGGGGAACAACCCTGGGCACTGCTGTCCCGCTGTGCCGGGGGGAACAACCCTGGGCACTGCTGTCCCGCTGTGCCGGGGGGAACAACCCTGGGCACTGCTGTCCCGCTGTGCGGGGGGAACAACCCCGGGCACTGCTGTCCCGCTGTGCCGGGGGAACAACCCCGGGCACTGCTGTCCTGCTGTACCGTGCCTCGGGAGCCTCAGGCTGCCCTGCGCCAGCGGGCTGGTAGCTATGTGCCAGCCAGCTCCAGAGTCTGGTACCTCACCTTTTCACCCCACTCCACCTAGGGTCACACCCTGACTTCTCAGAAAATGCCTTCACTCAGTACACTAAGGTCAACACAGCTCTTTCTCAAAGCCATCCTCCAATTTCTGAGAAGGGTCTCCACTATCCATACTTCCAGGTTTCAAACTTCCGATATGTCCTTGACAACCTCTTTGTTTCCCATCCATGTGAAAACCACCAATCACCAAGTCCCGTCAGTTCAACCAGCGGAGTGGCTTAGAGAGGCACTTCTCCCCACCTCGTGGCCTTAGGCCTGCATTTCTCCTCTGCCTGGTACCAATCCCCTCACTGGTCTCCTTGCATCTACTCCCGCCCTACTGTCCATCTTTTGTACAGCAGTCACAGGTCTTAAAACATGATCTGACCACATACTCTAGAGCTCAAACCCTTCTATGGCTCCCTATTGCCCTCAGGCTAGGTCCAAGTTCCTGAGCCTGACACTCTAGGCCCTGACTGGTCCCTGCCACCCTCCAGAAAACCACCCTCCTGCCTCCACCCTCATCTTCCTGTGTCAAGCACAGCAAAAGCAGTCTCATGGAACACCACCCCTTATCTTCTAACAGTAATATCATAACAAGAGTTGAGTGCTTTCTCTGTGCCAAATTCCATGTTTGGTGGCTTCATAGTTCCCTTCTCATTTAATCCTGAGAAGCTTAGTGAAGCAAAATAACCTCTTCAGGGTCACAAAGGTAGCAAATTGCAGAGCCACCATGATCTGTCTGACTTCAGGAGCTGTGCCCCTGACCCCTACCTCCTTCCCTCACAGCCTCGGTCCCCTCCTCCAGGAAGCTCCTGACTAGCCCTCTTTGAATCTCATGGCTCTGCTTTTCTGGTCTCTTTTCTACCACAGGGAATGTCCTACAGGCAGGGTCCAGGATCTACTCTTCCTGGTACTTTTTAGGTGTGAAGCAGCCATGATGGTTATTGTACCCATCTCACAGGTACAATAAAACAACTAAGGCCAGAAAGGGTAGTCCAAGGTCTCAACCAAGGTCACCAGTGAGTCAAGGGCAGAGCCAAGCCAAACATGCAGAATACCTGCTCTACTGACTTGGCTCTGCCTCTACCCCACCCTGGGTCCCAGGCCAGTGAGCCTAAAGCCAGGAGGAAGGGCTGGGCAGTTACCAGATCAGCTAAGGAATTTCCTGGGTGGTTAGAAGACATTCCATCTCCTCCACTAGGGTGGCTCTGGAATGTACCCGCTCACCCACCAACCTAACTGGCCCTGTGCAGCCTGGAAGGGGATTGTGACCCATCGCCATTCTGGAAACCCCTGCTGCCTGCTTCTGTTGTGAAGACCTGGACCCAGAACACCATCAAGGGGTAGCGGAGGGCACGGACAGTTCTGTCATTTCCAGCTGTGTGACCTGGACAAGTCTCCTCTCCACAACCTAAGTCTCAATTACCCCAAAATCTAAGAACAGTACCTGCCCACAAGGTTGTTAAAGGCGATGATTTAGAATTCATTTTATGAAATCATTAAAAGATACAATTTCAGCAAGTAGCAAGGCAGGGAAGATGGGGGTATCTTAGGAAGACAAGAGGGGCAGGAAACCCACAGGAATTTTGAGCACAGTAGTGAGGTGGGTCACAGCCAGACTGACTACAGATCAGGTTTCCCACACTGAAGGCCATCCTCAGAAGGGAGGGAAGTCCAGGGCCCCCAGCAGGAACCAGACCCCACCACATTTCTTCACTTACTCACCCTTTTACAGAGGTTGTCATATCTATGCCTGTCCTGTACAGGGCACTTGGGGATTCCAAGGTGGGTCACTGTCAATTGGTGAGGAAGGGGATAGCACATGGAAGAAAACCCAGGCATAGGTAATGACAACTCAGGGTGATCAGGGCTGACGGAAGCAGAGGCAACAGGGCTGAAACAGATAAGAGGACCCCTGATGGGAATGGGGAGGTGGTCAAGGAAGCCTTCCTGGAGGAGAGGACACCTGACCTGTATTTTGGAAGGGGTCAGGTGAGTGAAGAGAGAAGAAAAGCAGAGTAAGCAAAAACCAGGGCAAGAGATCACACAGTATGTTTGGGGAACTGTCAGTCATCCCTGAAGATTGAGGGGAGAAGAGAGGACAAGGCTGGGTTAAAAGATAGGATTTTGGAAGTCATTCTCTGTTCCCTTCCAAATGTTACCCACAGAGCTGAAGGCCAGTGTGTCCCCAGCCTTGCCTGGAATGCTTCTGCACCATAAGCACCAGGGCTCATCTGGGGAAACCTCAGAGGTTATTGACAGGTGCTCTAGCAATATAAAGCCCCTGCATCCTCCTCCAGGAAGCCCTTGTGCTCTGCAGCCCCTTCAGGAGGCACTCGCCCTTTTGGGAGCCCCCAGGGGCCTGGCTGTGGGAGCCACGTGTTGGGGTTGAGCTCAGAGCATCTGAGTGTGTGGGTCTCAGATCAGCCAGACTGGTCCTCCCACCTCACAGGTCAGGTAACCAAGACTCCTTAAGAGGAAGGGCCTTACTCAAAGTCTGGTGTTCTAATTCCAGTATTTTCAGTATAGGGTTGAGCACCTCTACCCTCACCCCAGGGCAGGACTCCAAACCACCTGTTCTGTCCCTGACCCGGCACAGTCCAGCCCAGCCCCACACTGCACAAGACTATAGAGATGCACTGGTAAACCGAGCCAGTTCAGAACCACAAAGCCCTGGACTCCACGTCGACCTATCACAATCCAGATGCCTGCAGCCAGACTTAAGAGGCAAGAACCCTGGGTTGAGGCTCCAACTTGGAACGGCCCATGCTGTGCAATCTTGGTCAAATTGGTTTCTCTCTCTGAGCCTTGGGTTCCTCACTGGTCAATAGGGGAGAGTCACCATTACACAAGACAGCCCATGAGGAATGAGTAAGATAAGGGGTATTCCGCGGGGCTAGCAAATCATGCGCTGTCCTGACATGGGGGCTGCATCTACTGGTCATGGCAGAAAGACACTGAAACCCTTCTCAGCAGGGAGCCCTGCTGGTGACCCAGAAGAGGGGCCATGTTCAGAATAGTCAGGGAAGGTTCCTGGAAGGGGCTGTGATAAGGTGTGAAGAGAAGCATAAAGGGTCCAGCTTGGAAGGAAAGAAGGAGAATGGAGAACCCAAGGTAGAAAAGGGATAAGACTGTAGAACAGGATACAAGTGATTCTGTGATTCTGAGACTGTCTTATTCTGGGTGCTTCCAGGATTCTGAGTTCATTGGTTCTTACAATCTAATTTCAAGAGACTCTGGTTCTGGAAGTGAATGCTGAATGTTTCTTTAATTCTGCTACTCATTGCTTCTGGTAGCCTTTGGTTTTGAGATTCTCAGAACCACAGGAGTCTTGACTCTCAGAATATATAATCATAAGTCACTTTCCCAGGAGCTACCAAGTCTCAGCAAATGCCTGCCACTGCCCCCATGTGCCTGACCTCAGAGGGACCCTGCAAACCCGGACTCCTATCAGACTCAGCCAGGTCCTTGAAGAGCTCCGGCCTGAATGGGGAGAAAGCCACAGACATGGATCAAGTCTACTTAGGTGACCAAGCCATAACCAAAGGTAGCCCAGAGGAAATGGAGGCCAGAGTAACCCCTAACCAGCCTGGTGAGGTGGTCGGGAAGAGCTTCCCAGAGGAGGGTCATTTGAGTTGGGACGCGATAGCCGATTAGGAGTTTGTTAGGTGGACACAAGGTAGAAGAGCATAGAAGGCAAAAGGAGGAGCAGGGACAAAGACTCAGTGGTATGATAGTGCAGACTGTCTTTGTAAAGCCAGGGGTCATGTGAGGTTGGAGTGGTGTGGGGGTGGGGGTGGGTGTGTGTGTGTGTGTGTGGGGGGGCTGCAGGACTCAGCCAGGCTGAGGAACTTGGCATCTATCCTGAGGACAATGGGAAGCCATGGCAGGGCTTAAGCAGGGAAGGACATGGTCAGAGCTACAAAGATAGTGCCACAAGGAAGGTGGATAGGGTGGGAGAAACCTCCCCCAAGGCAGAGGGAGAGGAGAGGATCATGTGGACCCCAAGAAGTCTGAGGGAGGCCCTTCTCCCATGCTCCAGTGCCCAGGCTGGTCGTTGTCACTATAATAACACTGACAGGGTACCAGGATAGAAGGCCAAGGAGGAAGTAGTTGTCCAGGAGGGTCCAAGGTGTCCACTTTCCCAGCAGGGACTCCAGTTACTCATCCTGAACCAGAAATGACTCAGGGCTAAGATATGGTGTGCAGGGGAGTGGAGGAACTCCTCTGCTCAAGAACCAATTGTAGCTTTCCATGGAGCAAGGCCCTCATCTTCCACTTTACACCCACTTTCACCTGGTCATTCACTTCCCAAACACTCACTGGCATCTCCGTTAGCCCAACCTGTGTTGGGTGATGTGGACACAGAGAGAAAGCAGGCCTGGGCAAGTCCTGCAACTGACCTTGGTACCGAGGTCAGGATTCGCCCCCACAGCAGCTTGCCCACCTTCAGGCCTGAATGGCTGGGGAAGCCAGGCCTGAGAGCACAAAGGCAGCCCAAGAAGAAGCTGTGGGCCGAAAGGTACACCAGACAGGTCCACAGGAGGCAGTTCAAGGAGGGGAAAGATTTCATTAGGGGCACCTCCACCTCCACTCACCAGATCAACAAGGCTTCCCTAGTCCTGAAGGCAGGTCTGAATGGGCATTATATAATCAGCAGCTGGGTAATCAGGCCAAAGCAAGACCTAAAGACAGGTTTTCAGGGAAGGATTCAGCCTGAAAGCTAGAGGACCAGGCCACATCCAGATGGGGATTTTGCCTTGAATGGAGCAGGTAGGCAGGAACCCCAGCTTTTACCTTGGCCTTGTGACCTTGTTTCCTGAGCTCCTATTTCCTCATCTGCAAAATGGGGATAATTCCTCCCTAACAGGGTTGGTAGAGGGACATTTATAAATTGCTACCAGTAAGCCGAGAGGACACAGGCCGAAGAAAGCAGTCAACAGTTAAAATTCCCCAAATCCCTTTCTATTTCACCCATTTTCTGTTATTGTCTTCAAAATGAATTTAAGTCAATGAGTATCACAATTCTTCCCTGTACACTGCACTTTACAGCTTACAAAGCCCTTTCTTGACCACTATCTTAAAAATCCTCATAGCAACCTAGCATTTGAAGAGTCAAGGACCATGATGCCCAATTAACAGATGGCAAAACCAACACCTGGAAGGGCATAGCGGCCTCTCTGAGGGCTATAGTTAGGAAAGAAGACAAATGAAAGCATCCACAGGTCACCCATGAGTCCTTAGTGATGTTCTCACACTCTTTTAGATCCAGAAGCCTCAGAGCCCTGTGTATCTTGGGCAGGAGGACAGTCATGGAAGAGCCATAGCCTCATTCTGCAGCCCAAGCTTGGCAGCCATTTATTAAGGTCTCCACTATGATCCTCCAACCCACATGGCCAGACCACAGGACAGTCAAAGGCAGGAAGAAGAGAAAAGTGACAAGCCGTCCATGCCAAGGCCTCCCCATGCACAAACTCTCAGCACAGGATCTTACTGGCTCTAGCGTCCTTTTAGAGGCTGGCAGGGTAGAAACTATCCCAAGGTCACCCAACAAGTTGGGAGCAGAGCTGGGATGAGATCAATCACTGGTCCCAAGACTACCACTGGGGATGGGAGAGTCTTAAGTGTCCCCAGATTCCTCAGCAGAAGCATCTGATGGGCCAGGGAAGTGTTTAAAGAAAGGGCTAAGGGCTCAGAGTTTAAACAATGCCTGGATAGTTCTGGTATCAATATCACATATGCTCCGAGCTCCATGCATTTAGCACTACTCAATCCATCCTCCATCCTGCAGCCAGAGAGAGCTTTCTGAAATGGTGCTCTAACCAAGAGTCTCCCGTTCTCACAAACCTTCCATGGCTCCCCATTGCCTTCAGAATGAAATCCAAGTTTTCAGCCTACATACTCTGGGTCCTGTAGTGACCCAGGACACATTGTTCTGACAACCTGTGCCACCCACTCTGCTGACCCGATTCTGATTTCTCCTTCCTTGTAATAACACGGAGCTCCACTGTAGACAGACCTTCATTGGGGAAGTTGGGGACAGGGCGCAGGGGACAGTCACTGCTTTGCTTTCTCAGTTCAGCTCAGCCCTGTGTAGGGTGCTGGCAACACAGAAATAAACTCCAGTTCCTGCCTTCCAGGGGCTCTCAAACCTGGGGATTGGAAAGGAGACAGACAGAAGCCATGACAGTCCAAGTGGGAGCAGGGCTGTCAGCACTGGGACTGCAAGATCCCAGAAGAACCCAACCCAGCTGGGGGATCAAGGAAGGCTTCCCAGAGGAGGAGACATCTGAGCTGGGCCTCAAGGCTGGGTAGTTCTCCAAGTTAGGAAAATCAGAGTAGGAGGGCATTTCAAGCAGTGAGCATAGAACACGTAATGATCCAGAGGCAAGAAACTGCCCAGTGTGTGCAGCAGATTCCGTGTAGTTACTAGCAGGTGGAAAGTCAGGGAGGAGAGGCTGGCAAGGATCAGTTCTTGGAGGCCTTGAGTCCCAGGCTGAGGGGTTCAGGCTGGGTCCTGTGGAAGTTCTGTGAAAGTTCACCCCAGAAAGAACAGTTGGAATTTGGGTTTTAGAAACTTCAATCTAGGGACTGATCCCACCCCCACTCCCACTCTCAAGCTGTGAGCCTGTCTAAGAAGACATTGGTGCTGAACAGAATGCACACATCAGCTCCTCAAGAGCCCACATAATTGCTATTTCCTTTTCACATGTGAGGTCATGAGGCTCAGAGAAGGGGTGTGCCTTTTCCGGGGTCACACAGTGGCCAAGGTAGGATTGGAATATAGATCTCTGATTCTCCAGGGAGCTTTTGTGGGTCTTGTCTGCTCAAAGAATCTCCTTTCCAACCACTCCTACCCATTGAGATAACTGAGACTTGACTGGGCCCTCACGCTGGCCCTCAAAAGCTCCCCATTATTCCAGCCTAGATCCAAAACAAATCAGGCACCTAAGGCTGTGGGCCTAGGGACGCCAAGACTGTCATGCCGAAAGGAACAGCTGCCCCAGCCCCACAGGCCCCAAACTGGCCGTTCTATTCCACAGCAGGGCCCGGCCCTTAGATCTGGCTCCAGGGGTCCCAAATCTGCAGCCCTTGTTGGGGAGTGGAGGGAAGGCACTGCCTTTTCCCAGCGACCCTTCCTGCAGCACCACCTGCCATATTAAAAGTCCCTTGACAGAGGCTTAACTGTCCTTCCAGGCCACTGTCCCAATCCCCCATTCCCCTAAGTCTTACCCACGCCCAAAGTACCCCTGGAGTGAGCCGGCCTCCAGAGGGTTGCGTGTCAGCGGCCGCCAAAGGGGCGCCCACTTCAGAGCGCGCGCGCGCGCGCGCACACACACACACACACACACACACACACACACACACACACACACACTTCTACAAGTTCAGCTGTTGATAAAGCAGGGGCGCACGCGCCCACCCACTACACACAAACTCTCCCAAATATGCGGGGACACTCACCGGGGTGTCGGTCCACACTCCCCGAGACCAATGCTTTAGTGGAGACAGAATTTTACCACCGACCGCCAGCGCGCTCAGACCAGCGCAAACATGCCCCACTCCAACAACCAAACAAACGCGCACCGCTCAGCCTTCCCAGCGCCCAGGAGGCACCGCCGCGTCCCTGGCCGCACCCTCCTACCTCTCCCCGCCTCCGGCCCCTCCAGGCGGCCCGCCCCTCACCTCCGCGGGTGCTCCTCCGCCCGTCGCGCAGCGACCACCGCCCCCCGGTGCCTGCGCCCGCGTCCCTCAGCTGCCGCGGGGGCCCCGCCCGCCAGGAGTAGCACCCACCCCCGGCCGGGTCAGGCAGGGGCGGACGGACTCTGGACTGACTCTGGACAGGCTCTGGAACCGCCCCGCCCCGCCCCGTCCTGACACCCAGCCACCGGCTGAGGACACTGCCCGGCGGGGTCAGCGCATCTGCTTCGGGTGCTGCGCGGGGAGGGGCGACCGTCCTACCACCTGACTGAGGTTTTCAGAGACGCTCAAGTTTTGCGAAGTTTGTCTAATGCTTGAGTGACTCGTGTCGCTGCCCACAGTGAGACCTTGCCATGAAACTGGGCCCTCTCCTCCCAGGGACCTGCTTAGAACACCACGCTGAGAACTCGCCTCCCTTGCTTGAGACATGGTAAGGGAGGAGAGGTGGGCGCCCCTCATTGCTTCAGGGTGGAAAAATCCAGGCATTCAGGGTCCTGCTTTTCTCCAGCTCAGAGGAGAGGAGGATGGAGGAGCCTCCCCTATGCTCCCTTTGCTTAATCTCCTTCAGAAAGTCACTAGCAATTTCCTGCCCCCCCCCCTTTTTTGGTCCCTCATCTTGAGCTGCCTTTTCAGACTAGTGCAGCCACACACACACACATCACTCCCTTCTCTGCCCTTGACCCCACTATGATGTCCTTCCATGGCCAAGGACCCTTTCTTCCACTGTGGTCCCCAGGAGAGCAGGGACCAGGTCTGCCTCCTTCCTACTGTGGTCCCAGAGGTCCCAGGAATTGTTGAACATGTGAATGGATGGATGGATGAATAAATGAATGTCCCCTTCTCTCTCATCCTGATCTAGGCGCCAGGAAAGAAGGTTGTGGCTCAGCTTTAGCACTGACTCTGGTAGAGCTTGACCCAGTTCCAATCTCTCTGAGGGCTCACTTTTCTGTGGAATAGAGGCAATCACACTCACCCTTCTGCCAGCCAGTGTCCATCCGTCAGGACTTTGGACAGTCAGTGTCTGGATGAGTGCACAGTAGGCCTCTTTCTAGGGCCAAGGAGCTGGCTAATGGCCCTGGGGCCTTGGGTCCTGCTGGGCTCCACATCAGCTGACTGGCACCTGGCTGCTGGCCCAGGAGGGGCCCAGGAAGGATGCTGGCTGTAGCCTTGCCAAGAGCAGGAGTGGAATGGACACATGGCCCTGTGTAGCTGAGCCTCCTCTGCAGTCCTCCAGAGACTTACGCCTGGAAGACACAAAGGCCTCTTGTCCAGCCTCCTCCACCTATTGTCCAAACTGGTCCATACAGCTTCTAGGGAACGAGAAATCCCGTGGCCCTTATTTATGGAGCCTGGGCCTCAGAGTCCCAGTGTGGGGAAGTCTCACGGGCACTGGAGGCCCAACCAACACCCTCTCACTTCTCCCTTCAGATTTCTACTCTAATTGCAATTTAGGCCCAGAGAAGGAAATTCCTCTCATACCAAGATGATGACCCAAGGCTCTGCCTCAGCCTCCAGCTGCCTGGTGGGTGGAGAGCCGGGGGTCCTGCTCCTGCCCTGGTTCATCTCTGTTACTTTTTGGTCAAAGAAAGTGCATCTCCGAGACACACAGTGTTTGAGCTACCACAACAGGAGACTTAGTGAGGCCTGAGGAGCAGAGGAAAGGGACTTGTCCTTGAACCCCCTGGCCTTAGCTTCAGGTTCAGACTCTTCTCTGAGCCTCAGTTTCCTCTTCTGCAAAATGGTAATAATAATCCATTTCTCACTGGCCCATTTGAGATTCTTTTTTCAGTTTTTCCCATTGTCCTGAGCTGCCTGGATTCAAGGGTTAATGACTCTTCTAATGAGGGACTGAAAGTCTAAGTCTCCTGACAGCTTCACCAGACATTCTCATCACTGGCTTTAGAGATCAAGTCCAGCAGGTTCCAAATCCCTCAGCTGTGTTCCCCTTGACCTGGGGCTGCCTGAGGAGCCCCCATCTCACTTCAACCTGAGCAACTTTGCTTTTATCTTTGTATTGATTTACATTTTCTGGTAAGAGCTTGTTGAAAAAAATACAGAACTTTTCATAGCTAAAAGATTTTAGACCCACTGACCCAGCTGGGAAATTTGAGGCCCAGTGAATCTAACCGCAAACCCATACAAGGCCCCATCTGGAAGGGTGGAATAACACCCAGGGAGCCTCCTTGCAACCAAGCAGCCAAGGCAGGCTAGTGGTGAAGGCCCAGTCATCTAATGGTCCCCAAGAGGAGGAGAATGGAGCCATAGGAGGGGGAGAGGGGTTCCATTAGCAGCAGCAGGTCAGGGTACAGAAGGGTGACTCCGGAGCACTTCTCCCCATGCATTAGGAGGCTTTCTGCCTCACCAATCCTAAGGAGGCATTTGGCTCTCTTAAGCCTTCTCATCTTCCCTCTCTTGCCTCAGATCATCTCCCCTGAGAAGACCTGCTCTGACAATCTATGCTGGGGATAGAGCCTGGACCTGACACTGCCTCCTTGCTGAGCTGGGACATGACACCTCCAAGCCTTCCTTCACAGGCCAGGGTGGTATCTCTGTCGCCCCTCCCAACCATTGCTTGCCTCACACCCTCTAGTAGCCACAACATCCTCAAGATAAAGCCCTGCTCTGCAGCCTGCAAGGCCAGGTCTTCCCACCTCCCCTCCGCACCTGCTGCCTCTGCGCTGGCCGTGCTGCAGTGCTGGGCTTTCACTGGCCTCCTGCCTGGCACTTGCTGCTCCATCGGCCTGCAGTGCCCTTTCATGGTTTTCTGCCTGTGACCCCTTCTCATTGTTCCCCAACATCGTTCCTCTAAGGCCCAGCCCAGGTGCCCCAACAAGTACCTCCCTTTGTCCCAACACTGACCACACTGTTGTCACTATTGATGTCTATCTCCCTCTAATGGGGATCTCTTTGAGGGCAGGCCTAGGATCCATATAGTCATATGCCCAGTACCTAGCACTATCCCTGACACCTGGTCAGCCTCCATGAATATCTAGACCAAGAACTCTATTTAGTGATCACCTTCTTTGTGCTCGTCATTGTGTTAAAGTATCTCATTTCATCTTTACCAGAACCCTGTGAGGTAGGTGTTGTCATTACCATTTTATATATGGGAAAACTAAAGTTCAGGAAGGGGAAGTTAATGTCCCACGTCACACAGTGAGTCTGCAGTAGGTCCCCTGGCCCTAGAACTGCAACCTGCTTAGAAGGAAGGCCCTGCTGAGTTCCCGGAGTGATGGCCGAGACATGGCATTGGAAGCACACTGGTGTTCCAGTTACACAGGGCTGGGCTGGCTCCAGCAGCCTTGTCTGCTCTCCCTCACCAACAGGCAACTGCTCCTCAGGTTTCCCAGACCTCTGATGCCAAGCACAGCCTGGAAGCTCTGGCTCTCAGCATGCCAGAATGCAGGTGCCCAGGGGAGGCAGCCCTCTAGGCAGGAAGGCTGGTCCAGGCCTGGGCAAGCCTCTTCTCCACCTCCCCACAAGTAGGGCCAGCCACAGAATTTGTGGGACCCAGGGTAGAATGAAAATATGACCCCCTTGTTCAAAAACTAATAAGAATTTCAAGACGGGATAGCCAAGCATTAAATCAAGTGCAGGGCCTTCAATTTGTGGGGCCCTGTGTACAGGTCACACACCCACGAAGCCAGCCCTGTTCTCAGGCCTTGGTTTCCTCAACTGTCAAATGGGAGAATGATGACCAGCTGGCAGGCAATGGTGAAGATG